ATCTTTCTTCTGCATGGTGCCAGCTCAGCAGCTTGTTGGGGGCTAGAAGATCTAAATCAGCTTCACTTGACCGTCTGAGGTCTCAGTACTCGTTATTAGTTAAAAGTCTCACACCATCTCTACCAGGTTTTTCTCTCCAGATGGTGTTTGGCTTCTGGAGGAGTCAGGTAAGATAAAATACCTGAGGTCAGGTAATTTATGAAGAAAAGAGGTTTATCTAACTCACAGTTCTGGAGGCTGAAAGCTCAAGAACCATCAGAGAGCCACATCTGGCAAGGGCTTCATACTGGGTCACAGCATACAGGTGCCATCATATAATCAGAGCACTTGTGACAGAGGTGAGTGGCACTTTTGAGAGGGAAAGAAGGAAAGAGCGAGTGCAAGAACGAACTGCCAAAGTCAAATAGTCTCTGTAACAACTTGCTCTCGAGGTGACCAATGCAGGCTGCAAGCCCTAGCCTGCGCTCTGAGGTGGGCATTATTATCAATTCCTTCCCAGGGTGGTGCCCCCAAGGACCTCACCTCCGCTAAGCCCATCTTTGAAGATCCCACCGCCTCTCAACATCATCATATTGGGAACCAAGCCTCCTGCACATGGAGCTGAACCCCAGCCGTTTCTCGTCAGCCAGGATCTATGCTCAGCCCTTCTGCAGAGCAGCTGGCTTTTCCGTGTTTCCACAATTTCCCAAACTTGCCTGTGCACCCTCCCCGTAGCATTCGTCTGAGGAAGAACATCAAGAAGTCATTGGCTCTCATGGCTGTGGTACGGAAAGGGAGTCTCTGGCTTCACCACTGTCACTGGGATCTGATGACTCCTGCCTCAGGCTCTCTCTCTTTCCGACGTGCAAAGGGACTAGGGGTGTAAACCATATGTCAATTAGGAGCCCATCCTTCATATCATGCCCACATGCAGGGCCTCAGTTCATCTCATTACCCACAGCTGCTCCGTTCCCCGTGAAGAACCCACTGGTACTCAAGCACTAGTGAGTAATGTGGACGACAATTACGGAGTCGGGGAGGGTACCTAGCACCACCCTCAGCAAAGTTAAGAAAAATAGGCAGCTCCTCTGAGACATTTCTGTTTTACAATTCCCTTGTCTATAAGGTCTCGGGGAGATCTTTCCCTCTCCTGTTTCCCCCTGTTACACCCGGGCTCTGAGGGTCCTCTCTCATCTCTGCCAGGTATTTTCAGGTATTTCAATTCATTTTTCTTCTGTCGTCCAAAGCCATTCATCCCTTCCTCCCCAACGCTTGACCCTTCTCAGTAAAACATTTCTGTTTTAAGAACAAAGCCCATGAACACTGCAAGGCAGGGAGAGAAGAGCATTCTGACCCTGTTCTAGCCACCTACCCGCCTTGACATCTCCCTCGCGTCAACACTGGGTGGACAACACCAAGGGATGCCATCAGAAGCCAGGCCGGGGGCCCAGGAGCGCTGGACGTAAATACGACGTACGTCAGACACCGTGCTTATCACTAGCACGAGGGTGACGGACACACGTCGATGTGGTTTCACATCCTGACATGTGGAAGTGGACACACAAGTGGAATCGCACACAGGAGTGTGTCAATCGGAGGAAAAAGTGTGGTGAGAGGACATGGGGGAAGTTCCCTTCTGCAGCAGGAGAAGGCCACAGGCTGAGATCTGCAAGATGGAGAGGAGTCTTCACCACGCTCTTGCCTTCATCCTGCCCTCCCAGGAAGGTTGGACAAAGAGCGTGGCCTGTTCCAGAGAGAGTGGGAGAGAGCGAGCGTGGGAACGTGCTCTGGGGGAGGCCACAGAAAGGCCTGAGCTGGCCCTGAGGGGCTTCGTGGGCAGGGTTCCTTCCCAGGCCCAGTCAGGGGTGGAAATAGGAGCCTTTCGTGTCCCTGAAACACCAGTCAGTGGTCCATTCCCACAGACATCCTGAGGGGAATCCAACGTTGCAAGTGAGCCAGGCCCTGAGTGGCACCAAAGGGACCAAGCAGGACAGGTCTCTGGAGCTGTCCCCCCAGGAAAGAGCAACGTGTGTGGAGCTGTGTGGCCTTTGGAGCGACAGCCTCCTGCCTGCACTGACCACAGCTGGGAGGGTGAATGGGTGCAGAGGAGTGTGGGTGAGTGCCACTAGCAGCTGCCTGTCACCACGGGACACCACGCCTTCTGAACACCGTGCCTCTGCTTTCCTCCCATCTCGGTGCCTTTCTTGTCAGACCCAAACCCAGGACCATGGAGGAAAGTGGACCTGGGAAACAGAGCCCCCAAAACCACCAAGAGAGGGCTTGAACCTTGTGCCCACAGAAAGGAGAGCACACACGCACCCTCTTTACCGATCCAGAGCCTTGGCAGAGACACCAGTCCTTCTACCTGTGCCAGATCTCTAGCCACCATTTTCCTCTGGTGATGACCACTAACAGAGTTCCTAGACCAGTCCTCCAGGTCTCCCTGCTTCCGCTGGATAGCTGTAAGGGTCCGTAAACAAGTCAGGATGGCGCCTGGCATTTTGCCAGAGGGAGTGGTTTGTGAAGTCACGCCAGCGAGCCATTAAGTGTGGAGATTCCTTAATGACTGACTGCCGTATCTGGTTTACGTTAATTGAGTTAAGCTGTGTGTAATTAAGATGATGAGGATTCCTTGATGGCAGATGGATGATGTTAATTGAAACAAGCTGTGTATAATGAGTTAGGTATATATACCTCTGCTGTCCAACAATAAAGCGGCTCCTGCTGTATCAACCTTCACAAGTTGCTTGCCACCCCCTGGTTATTTCGCCCAGTCAGACCGCGGCAGATAACTGGGAGTATTATGTATTCTGCTCTTGAGCATCTTAGTTCCTCTCTGCAGTTACAAATGCCAGTTCCCACCCCAATCCTCAGAGGGTTAGAGGTCAGAGGGTTGGAGAAAGAATGCCCATGACTCTTTCCAGGAACTCACTGTAGCTTTAGAAAAAGGTCCAGAAATACCTGCTGAAGGGACAGATCTACCATTTCCAGGATCTTCCAACACTTATAACTGTCTTCTTATTCAAATGTTTGTCTACTAAAAATAATAAAGTAATAATGTCCAATATTTATTGATTACTTAATATATGCCTGAACGAGGCTGAGTGCATCTTAACCATTATCTATTTTATCTTCACATTAATCCATGAGATGGATGGACACTGCCTGATCAATTTACAAAAGGTGACACTCACATGCATATGAGAACTGCCACCAGGCAGTCTGAAACCACGGAGAAACCTCCTGGTACATATGTATATACACACTACACACTAGATGGGTAGAGCACGATAGTTGAAGGAGCTAAAGTACACGCACATAACTCAGTTTCTAAGTGAGAAAGTCCCCAAGTGCCAGGAACAAAGAGGGAGCTGACAGCTTCAACAGGAAATGTGAACTCTCGTCCTGTGGTAGCAGACAGTATTGAGTTTAGACAAATGACCAAATGTTCATGGCTTGGATTTCGACTCACAGGGGCACGGGAGATGAGGTCTAAATGCTGTGGTAGGTGGAAAGCTGTAACTGTAACTGCATAGAACCAATACCATAAAAAACTAGAACTCTTCATGAAAGTAGAATTAGAAAAATTCTAACTACCAACTCTGGGAAATTACGAGAAGTTTCTCTGTACCCAGGGCTCTGTGGAAATAAAATATCCAACCCTTCATTGCAGATGGGGTTGGAAACAGAACTACGTACTGTAAATAGTTTAGAAATCTCAATCGAACAAATTATTATACAAAGTGAGCCCTAGTTCGTAGCTCCCACGAAGCCCTTGACAGAAGCCAAAACAAAGTGCTTGGAAGTACAGATTCACTCCCCAAACACATGAGCTTCCCACAAGACAAAGAATCAGCCCTATCTGAAAATGCATTAACAAAACATATTTACAAAATATATGGAAAAGCGACCGGACACAAGAGAATTTTAATGACCATGATCATCAGGGGAACCAACACTTCCAAGATTTTGAGACAACCAAATAGTCCAAAGGGAACACAAAATGAGATGTTTTAAAAGTTTTAAATAACTAAACAGAAGGAGACAGTACAGCAGCATAAGGCAAGACCAGATTATTTCAAAAAATAAGGACATTGGAAGACCAGACATTAAAATTCAGCTGTAGAAATTAAAAGTCCAATGGATCGATGAAGTATCAGACTAGATTCAGCTGAAGAGAGAACTAGTGACCAGAAGGAAGCAGAAAATAAAGAAATCGGGGCGGGGGGGGGGCAATATTCAAATTTGTAGCTGTGAATTTTCCAGAGTGAAAAGACATGGTCCTCAGAACACAGGTCAAGGGTCAGAAAACCTCCTCAAGGTGAAATAATGAAGAAGAGACAGAATCAGATTCCCATAGACTCATTCTGGATGCAGAGCTCCTTGTTTTAACTGGCATCGCAGACCACTAACATATCTTCAACGTTCTGTTCCAGGGCTTAGTGCTATAACACACCTCCAATTATATCTGGCCCAAACCCTGATATAACCCTGAAGCTATCAAGTCGGCATTTCATAAAATGCATTTAAAAACATCTGTTCCATAACATGCTCTTTTGACGGTGGTGAGGGGTGGGAGTGAGGGGGCTACCTGTGTCAAATAAGTTTCGAAAACACTATAGATAGCATTTCTTTTGGTAAAAGCTCCAGAAATATGAGTGTCTTAAACTTGATGGGAAGTCTGGAGTGAAGACCTCTGCTTGACTTCAGAGCCCACTTTTCCTTAAATATCAGGAACTCCTGGCCTTCAGAAGATTCTGTGTCACAACCACGGGGACAACTAACTATGCGACTTGACTTGAATACTTCCACTGTTAGGAAGTCCACCGCCCACAAGGCAGCCCTCTCTGTTTTCTGATGGCTGTATTAACAGAAAGTTACTTTCTATGATGAAAAGAAACATTTCATATCCTAGACATTGATGCCCATTAGACCCATAAGATTTAAAAGAAAATATCAGCCTGGACAAGTTATGCCACAGTAGCAAAGAACCACAGATTTCAGTGACTTGTAACCACTACCTTAGGTACACACCAGCTCCAGGTGGGTTGACCTCTGCTCTTTGATCTTGATTTGAGGCAGGTGCTGGAGAAGCATGCTCTACCTTGGTCCCAGGAGCAGGGAGACGGTGGGATGGAGGAACCATACCTGGTTCTTAAAGCTTGGATGTGGCAAACATTACTTTCTCTTGGATTTCATTGGTCAAAGGGAGTCACATGGCCCAGTCAATTATGAGAGGATGAGAAGACATGATCCTTCCAGGGGCTGGACAACCAACTTTTGGAACTGTAATGAAATCAGCCATGTGCTCAAATCTGTTAGAAATATTTGAAGATAATTAGAAAGTGCTCCATGACCTTATTTTCCCCAGCTTCTCCTATTTCCAATTCCTTTTCTCTTCTTCTGTAACATGATATGGACACTCTCTGGACCTCCCATCCCTGTATATGCTCAGATCACCACCATTACCACCAGCACCACCACCATCATCATCACTGCTAATTGCAAGCCTGTGACTTTGCTCTGCCCTATATCAGCACAATTTTACAATCCTCACCATGGCACTGGGTTAAGCTTTTATGATACTCATTGTACAGATCGGGAAACCGAGGCTTAGAGAGTTGAATAACTGGCCAGATTCCCATTGCTGGTACGTGGCAGAGGCTGACTGAAGAGGGGTCTCGACCTCCGAGACATGCACACCCTGCCTCCCTGAGTAGCCTCCCCTGGACACACAGGACAAGATGAAGATGAGCTGACACCTTTCTCCACTCAAGAATGTGTGCTGTGGGATGCAAATGTCCAAAAGTGAGAGAGAACGTCTGTGATTCAACCTTTGAATCAAGACTAGGAAAATGTTGGCACGTCTTTCAGAAGTGCAGTGTCGTCCAAGCACCTGGAAATCCAGCGGTGTGGTTAATGTCCATGAGAACCACCTGTGCGTTTTAGGTGCAGTGATCAATGGAATAATTTATGAACATGATCTGGATGCAGAAGGAAGAAAAGCTTCACCTTATTCATCATCTCCGAGTTGTAGTGACCACCTTCAGCACTGCTGAGAAGAATCCCGAGGAATCCTGGGGAAAGGGTGGCATGATCAATGAGCAATGTCGGACAGAAGAAAGGAAGAGGGAAGCCGGGTTAGGCAGGCCCAGCGTTCCACATCCCTGTCTGAGGAACCTGCCCACATGATCTGGGAAATGGATTTTCTTGGAAAAACACTGAATTCACATTGTATAAAAAGAAGGAGGAAACTAATATAAATTTAGCATCTTCTTTTAAGCACATGCTTTATTTCACTTTTCACAATACAATGCAAATGAGCCTTGTGTTCCCACTTCACAGGCAAGAAGATGAAGGCTCACAGATGCCAACGCCCTCTGAGATCACTCCATCTTAGGTCTGATGAATCCTGATGCTAAACCCCAGCACACCGCTTCCTAAAATCCGCAGAGCTCATGAAAATGTCTCATTGTTCCACTGGTTGTTTTGCCACCACATGGCCCAGCTCCAGGATCCCAACCCCTCTCTGTTTTTGTCTTTCCTTCTCCCTGGCTGAAGCCTCACTCCTCTCAGAACACAAATGACTACAAGGCAAGGCACCCGGTTAGACCAGATCGTGCCTCCTAAAGGTGGCAGGTTTGCATCACGACTTTACATAAATGCTCCTGGCACTGGCAGCGGGAGGCAGGCAGGAGTGTGGCTCTGCCATGTGACAAATATAGAGCTGCTGTCCTTAAAGCTCCAACAGGAGACTAACCCTCAAGGGAGACGCCATGCAATAAATAATTTTTGCCATAACACATCCCTTCCCTTTGCATAAATTTAACACCCCGCTCTCTGTACAATATGTGATCTTCCTGCTAACTCCCCATAGACAGAAATAGTTCTGGTAAGATGTGATAAAAAACGGGTGGCAGAAGGGAAGGGAGACACGACACACTGGAGAACTTGACTTCAGTGTCGGCTTTTCCACAATGGACCTTATTTTTTTGCACTCTTCACCATTAACAATGTTCAGAGGATGACGTTGATGGGGCCTATCGCCAGTCGGATGGTATCCCCAAAGTATGGAGTGAACTGTAGTTTTGGACTCTTGTGTTTCCCTGTTTGGGCAGCCAGGAGTGACACGGCTGCTAGTCTGTTTCTTCCTTCTCTTGCCCACAGCTTTGGCCAAGGACAACTTCCCACACACGGTGATGTGCCACGCAGGCTCCAGGCTCAAGACCTAACCCTGCCTCAGGAGGGCGGCCTTTGGGAGGGTCTAGAAAAGCTCAGCTTTCCAGTGAGTTCATCTCTCGTTCTGTGGGTCGGTTCAGGCTGCGGTGGAACTCTGGATGAAGAGAGGCAAGCACCCAGGAGACGTTCTTCCTAGAGATCACACCACGGGATGTTTCAAATCCACCTGGAGAACTCATCCCATATTTTATATTCCCCAAACAGAACTTTCTGGAAACTGACAATCTTTAGCATGGGGTGGCACAGTGTGTTCCCTGGGACCTTCACAGCCTGCAGAGTGTCATCTCGAGGGAGGAAGCACCGTAAGAAGAACCCCTTGTTCCTACAGAAAGAGAGTTCCTGTGAGGCCGGGGGCCTCTGCTTCATAGTTGTGTTGGAATTCTAATAACAGGACCTTCTTGTGTTCTTTCTCCCATCTCATGTCCATCTAGTCCTAGGCCAACGGCAGGAGCCCGTCCTTCTGCATCTCCAAGCTTCCAGGCAACCACCTCACCTACGTACTTCACTCCTGAAAATCAGACCATGGGAGGAGCAGGAGGAGACACCCATGACCAGTTCAGGCTAGTGCCATGCCTGTGTTTGATGACCAAAACGGGAGGAACTGAATCACACAGATGGAAATGGCCTTCAAGTTTCAAGTGGCAAAATCTCCAACAGGAACCTTTATAGACAGAAAATTAAATACAGGGGCCTATGTAAACGGAAAACCAACCTCTACTCCAGAAAGAGCTCAATGGAGGGCGTCAAATGATGGCTTCGGGGCAGGTCCCTCCTCATGGACTTTGGCTCCCCACATCCAGGTCTTTGCCCTTCTCTGCACTGTGTGCACCGTCAGGCCAGCTCTCCTGATGCGGTGGCCGAGTGTGCACTAATGAATAGCCCCAGGCTGAGGAAGAAGGGTTCCACGTGCTGGAAGCAGGACATGTCATTCCTAACTGACACGGTCCCAGGAGTGACCCTCGTTCGCCCAGTTTGCATCCACAGGTCAATTATGAATCCCAAACAAATGTTTTAAGCTGTTTTTAGGTGGAGGTCTGTCACATGCAGCTAGAAGAACTGTGGGAATTCCTTCTTGATGGACTCTGGGCTTAGGTATTGTACACAAAGAACTTAGAGGAAGGAGGTCAGGTTCCCAGAAGATTCACCGGGGCCTACAGATAAACGAACCTGAAGAATAATGAGCAAGACAGAACTAAACCCCAGCCCACCCCTCGTCTCTCCGCTGGCACTGGCTGCCTAATGTGGTTCTGTGAGGAGTTCCGTGCCCCTTCATGATGTTCCGGTGACTCAAACATTTTACAGAAGTTTTCTCCTGAGTTCTGAGACCAATACCACCTTGCCTTCTACCACAATTATTCAGCATCAGAGGTAAAAAATGTCTTCTGGTAACTGCTTTCATCATCTCAATGACCCAAGAAAATGAGTAGAAACACCCGTCATTATGTTTCTGCTGCAGTCCTATGACCCATATCCCCGTCTTGTTCTTCAACCCCTGTCTGGACCACATGTTCCCATTATAGTTAAGTCTCCTGTCCTGCTTTGTCAGTCCTCTGGACTTGTGGTACTGGATATTGAAGCTGTGTCCTTGAACCCTGCACCAGGATTGCAGTAGGCTGATGTTCTAACAAGGTGACACAGTCTTCCAGATTGGAGAAAGGCATGGAGCCCCAAATTCAGAACATCTCCACTGACACCACTCTAGCTCAACACACTCAGAATTAGCAGCACCAAATCTCTTCTCCCTATTGGGTCTTCCACCAATGCTCTTGGTTTCAGTGGAAGGCATCACTTTCTACTTCCCCAATTTGGAAATACAGAGGCCATTCTCAAACTTTTTTTTTTTTAAATTCTAATTGTTATATATGACAGCAGAATGCAATTCAATTCATATTACACAAATAGAGCATAATTTTTCAGATCTCCGGTTATGCACTACTAGAGTCATACCATTTGTGTTTTCATACATTTACACAATTTGTGGTTTTTAAACATGTACTTAGAGTAATTTGCTTTCCTTTGTTCCAAACCCAGTCAATCACCAGGTCCTATTGGTTTTACTTCCAATACTTTCTCAGGAAAACCTACTTCTGCCCATCTCCACTGATAGCTCCTTGGCCCAGGCACCAGCCTCTTCCACCCTGACCACAGCTCTGTTCCCATTCTTGCCCTGCCCCACCCCATTTTTCACATAGCAGCCAAAGTGAGCTACTCATAACCTAAGTTGAATTCCGTAAATACCACACAGTGCTATTGTACCTTCTTTGTCCTACTTCCTATTGATCCTCTAGATTTTATATGAAATTTGGCTTCTTCAGATCAGTTTTCTTGACAGCGTTCTCAGCATGCTTAGTCTGTTTGGTGCCACTATGAAAGAATTCCTGAGAATGGTAATATGTAAACAATAGAAATTTATTAAGCTCATGAAGTCCAAAATCAAAGGTCTTCATCTGGCAAGGCCTCTGCTATATTGTAACGTCACAGGAAGTGTCCCCTGGTGAGATTGTGCACAAGAGCCACTGAGAAGGGCTGGGGATTGTCTTTAATCAGAAACTCACTCTCAGGATAACTGGCCCAAACTTGCACTAATGGCATTAACCCATTAACGAGGGGTAAGACTCTCCAGACCTCAACACCTCTCAAACTTCCACCTCTCAACATTATCTCTTCACTATTTCTTTGATGTGAATTTTACAACATATGAACTTTGGGGACACACTTGATCCATAGTTTATCTTAGAGTTAAAATTCACAGTGTTTATCACAACTGGATTATACCAATGATTTGTGCATCTGTTTATTTAATATCTGTCCTTCCAGGGAGATTCGATTCTGTAAACAACAAACACTCTGTCTTGTTTTCTCCCTCTCTTTTCCCTGGACCTCATTGTCCACAGAGTTAATGCTCAATAAATATTTAATGATATATTTATAAATGAAGACCACAGCACATTCATTCAGTGTCTAACTGGCCATGATTCCAGAATGTGGTAGAGAGAAATCTCTGCTGTGAAGGAGGTGCTGAATGGCTCTCAACCCCTCTAAGCAACACTGAGAGGCATCCTGAGGGTCTCTGCGT